CACACTTTCTAATGAAGATGAGCAACCTCCTGTTGGTTTAACAATGATGTATGAAAAATCATTGCTGTTTAAAAGTTTATAATTTGGTTTTGAGACATTAAACTGCAAAACATTCACTCACATGTACGAACATCTGTATAAAAGTATTTAGTCATCATGGCAAATGGTTACATGATTGTAAAACCAGGTATTGGCAAATTGGTAGTCATTTTTATTTTAGAATATTCTGGAACTCCACCCTCCTCACTTTGATAGCTCAGGTTTTTTCAATTCTGCAAGACAGACTTTGCTAATGATCCCCTAGTCTCCTAAATGTCTCTTGACTAGGAACCGTCCAGGTTAAAAATGTGTTGGCTGCTGGGAAATTGCCATTTCTGGTAATGCTTCAGGATAACGGGATGGGAGATGTTCAGCAAACAGTATATAGTACTTAACAAAGCATCTTAGTTTTTTAATATTAACCACTTATCGTACTGTACATCCCAAATAAGCATTTGTGGGATAAGAGGATTTTTGAGCTTCATTAAGTATCCCTCAAAGTTGTCCTTTCATAAAATGAAATAGGATTCACCATTTTAAGCTAAATGACTGACGTTTTTAGTTCACAGATTTTACAAGACATAAATCTAGCTTTGTTAAATGATCTGTTCAGATGCCTTCCTACATTTTCAACCTAAACCACAAACCACATTATAGTGTAACCAGTGCTGCTGAAGGTGGAACTCTAAACAGTTGTCCATGGAGCAGCAGGCAGTGTAGCAAACAGGCAAAGCAGTCCAGAAACATAGTAGGGGAAACAAGTACTGTTCAGGCACAGAGAAAGATCCCAAATCCCAGGTCCAACGATGCAATCCAGTTAAGTAACCAGGAGACAGGGGAGGAGATGTGATTACCCACAGGTGAAGCAAGCTTCCTGTGTGAATGCGTTTCCATGGCACCCGGCCTGACTGGCAGGGGGAAGAGACATGGGTGGCTGGTGACTAGCCCACTCCCCGACGCTCCTGCAAGGACGGGTGTGACACAATCAAGGACTGCAATTTTGATTCTAAAATATACTCTGAAAGGTCTTTTAGATGATTAAAATATGTCCACTCAATATCTGCTCCTGGAGGTTTCTAAGGTTCTACAAACTCATGCAAACCACTAACAAGGTTTACAAAAAAAAATCTTTATAAACTTGTCACGAACACGGACTGAAATCCGTGTCAGATCTTGTAGAAGACCCTATGCGATGCGGTAGGAGCTGGAGAAAACAGGAAGCGTGGTAAAAAGAAACACACAGGGGTTTAATAATGCACAAAATAGTAGTGACAGTCCGTGAGACAGTGTACGGGGAAGACAAAACGGCATCCAAATCCAAACGGGTCCAAGGGCGGGTCAAAGCACAGTCCGAGAGTCCACCAACAAGGAAT